CAGGCTCGAATCTGTGTTCAGTTGTTATCAACTTTCTGTGGAACCAAAGGTCAGAACTGAGGCCCAGCTTTGCCACTGCTGCCTGCAGGTGAGGCTTGGAGCAAGTCCTTCCACCTCTCTGCACATCCATGACCTCAGCAAGAAAGACCAGGGATCCAGGGGGATCTCCCTGAGGTCCCTTCCAGTCCCTGAGTGTCTAAGACGCCTCTTGGCTTTCACTGGAAAGAAGGTGCTGGCTAGTATAAGGAGAGGATCCTAGCCTGAATGACCAAGCATATTCTAGTTACCATGCGCCCTGGACCTAGACCTCCTGGGTTCGAATCCTTACCTTGCCACATACTAGCCGTGTATGACCTTGGCCAGGTTTCATAAACTCCTAATGTCTCAGTCTCCGTATGTATGAAGTGGGAATGACATTAGTATCTACCTCAGTGATGCAATGAAGAGTAAATGAAATACAAAAAAGCATTTACAATCATGTCAATTATAGAAGATAGATTTTGTTCCATCACCATCTCTCCTATTTTCTCGCCCACCAGTTCTTGACATTTCTCCAAGACATGCAGTCTTTAGGCTGATCACCAACACAACACACTCCCATGGGTGGAATGAGACATGAAAGTGATCCAAAACTATTATAGTGAAAGACTGCGCTGTGTAGGGTACTTATAAAAAGCATCTTACCAGCGTGACAGGACTTATAAGCTGTCTGTGCTCAGAACTACAACACTAAGAAGTGGGTTTAGACAAGAGTAGGTGGGAGTAGGTGGGTGGCACACATTCCCTCAAGGGCCAGCCACAAAAATCAAAGAGGGATGCAAATAAGTGAGGCTATTATTATTCTAAGGATAACCTTGAAGTGCTGACTTTTTTAAAAAATTGCAAACACCAGTACTTAACTCTTATAAGTAACAAAGTATTTGGATAACCCCACTCCTGAGTTCATGGGCAACAGAGTGAAGAAATACTCCTTAGCCATCCTAGGAAACCACCCCAGCTGGAGCCAAGGTCTTGCAGGCACAAAAGCAGGTGTGGCAGTGGGGGGGGGGGGTACCAGTTTATAGGGAGAACTGCTCCCACCAAACCCAACCACCAGAGCGGATACCCCTTGCCTCTCCCTGTTGTTTTCTGAGGCCAAAGAGCCCAACAGGAAGGCCCCTGTTTTCTCTCCAGAAGGTTATGTGTTCAGACAATAGAGCTAGCTGTAGGATTTTGAAGAAATCGTGATTCCTCCAACCCCTCTCAGGCATTCATCCAGCCTTCCAAATGTGACAAAGTTGGGGAAGGATGCATTTAATTGTGGCAAAGAAAAAACAAATAAATAAAACAGCTCAAGTGGGCAAAAACAGCTCAAATCTCAACTCTTCCAGCTGAAAACATGGTTACAGTCCTAAGGCTCCTGGGACTCACCTTGGCGGCTTTCCAAGAACTATTAGTTTGCATTAACACACTGAAAGAGAAGGTCAGATAAATTAAAAGTGAGAAGGTAATTTTGAAGAAGGACATCTTTATACCCAGCACAGAGCCTAGCTCATGGTGGCTGCCCAATGAACACCCAGTGAGTCCACCTGCAGCTGGCACAGAGGCCACCACAACTGTGCTCAGATTTTTGACATTGACACGGGATGCAAGAGAATCTAGGGACATGGCTTAGATTACAAACTTAAGAAGATGGGGTTGGGGAGGTCTTTACACAATTTCAAACAGAAATTTTAAGGCTTGGCCATCTTCTGGCTATTAAAAGGGACTCTATACATCAAAGCAATTATAAACTTTAAAGGCAGCCTAGCAAAACTTGCACTGACAAGTACCAAATTTATTTCTGACCCAAGCCTTTCAACTGTCACTCACGTGGTACTCTATCCAAATATAAAATGATTTCCACTCTTTTTTTAAGTTCCTGGATTCTGGAACACATACACCTTCCTTCAGCCAAAACGACCCATTAACCATTCACCTGACACCAGGACCCTTCCTCAAACTTAGACGTCTACCATAACAAATCCCCAGAGACAATATTCCTGACAGCACATGCTTTCCTGAGACCTACTATAATAACATCCACACAGAATGCCATCCCAAACAGCCACCCCACCTTCCCAGAGCCAGGAGACCAAGACACACAAGGAGGAGGGAATAAACATGAGTCCTATTGGGAAGGAGCAGTGCAACTACCTGCCCAGATGACCTGAGTTTTACCGATGACTGCCCTTTGCAATTTTCCAGACATCTCTGCAGGGGACACTGGTCACTGCCTGTCCCCTGCCAAAATCAATCTGAGAGTGACTCTGCAGTGATGTAGATCCCAAGCCACATGGAGCATTAGGAAAAGTCATGTCAAATGTCAGGGTGACATCTAGAAGAGATCCTAAGGAGCCATACATCTCAGGGGAGGGACCACAGGACTCCCCCTGGGCTAGGATCACAGAGGGACTATTGCATTTCCATGCTTTGAGAGGCTAGCTGGGCAGAAAGCTAGTTATTTTTAAACTAAGAAAACTGAATGGGAAGGGGAAAATTTTGAATTCCTATGATCTCCTGAGGTCCCTTCCAGCTCCAAGATGCTACCAAAGAACACTGCATATGCACATACATATGCCCATGCTTCTTTATAAAAACCTATATGGATGTGTGACTATATATAAATGTGTACTGTATTCACACTTTCAAACACAAAGCACTTGTAATGCGCACTGCTGAAGAGATGCAAAAGCCCATGAGAGGCTTTGCAGCATTGGATGGAACACGCAGATGCCACTGGCAGAACGGGGCGAGACCCCCAGCCCTGCTGCCACTGCAGTCCCCCTTAAAACCAACTGGCTCCAGCTTGTGTGGGTGCAACCGCTGCAAAGCCCCAAACCAGGACTGCAGAGTCCTTTCCCTAGTGACTCCGGTCACAAGTGTCCCAGACCTGAGAAGGCAGGCTAGAACAAAGGTGATGAAAGGAAAAGCCCAAACCTTACATCCAGGCACCCAGCTCTGCCCGAGGCCCATGTCAGGCGGAGCAGCTTCCTTCTCCTCTTCTCCCAGCCCCTAAAAGGGGCAAAAGGTCACCCTTTCCCCATCTCCCCCATCACCTGATTTTTTCAGGGCCTCTCCACTTCAGGCTGACAACATGGACATCAAGTTAGTACCTGGAGAAAACTAAAAAGGCCTCCAGAAAGAGGAGGTTTGCTCTAATCCTAACAGCCAAAAATTTGAGAGTGCCTATCTCAGCCCTGAGCAATAACAACAGAAAGAGTTTGTAGGAAAGAATGGGGAGGTGAAAACTCATTTATCAAAACAGATCAGTGATGGTTTGCCCATCATGAAAAACAGTTCTGTGATTTTTCTTGAATCAAAAACAAGGTAGTTCTGATCCTAGGACAAGGCTCAGGATGTGAGTGACACAGTGCCAAACATGGGGGAGGGGGGGTCATCTCTGGAGTAAAACCCAACCAAGTTGCTCAGGTCCTTACAATGAACGAGGAGCAGAGAGCACCAGCTCCTCACTTGCCTCTCTTTAGAAAGACATCCTGCCTCCAACACTTGGATTCGAGTGTTTACAAGCGCAGTGTTTCCATTCCACCGAACCCCAAGCAAACCTATGCTTTCTCCTTAACTTCACAGCCTCGTAAGCGTCCAAGCCTCCCTAACTGAGCCACCAGAGCCGGGCCGAGAGCCGCGTCCGCCCAGGGCCAGGCCTGGCAGTAAGTGCCATGAGTACAGGGCCCGGGACCTCGCCTCGGGCATTTCTGAAAACCAATGCACCGACTAGTTCCGGCATCCCCCAGGCACCGAGCACCCTGCTGGTGCTCCAAATGCGGCTGGACAATACAAGCGCCACCTCTTCCCTCTAAGGCGCGGTAGCTACGAAACCACGGCTTTGTGTGTGACAGCGAGTGTGAGCGCCAACGTCCCCGCGCTCACACACCCCCTTCCACCCAGTGTGCTCACCGCGCGGGGTCCATGCGTGTGGCGAGCGCACCGCCAGCGGGTCCACCCGGCAGGCGGCCACACCGCCAGGCCTCTGGCCACCCGGCCTCCGACCTGGCCTCGGGGAGCGGTGGATGACATGCATGCCTCGGTTCCCAGTCGCGGAAGCGGCTGGCGAAATAAGAGTCTGGGGGCGAGGAAAGGCGAGGCAGGGGACCGGGACGCGAAAGGGCGACAGGCGGGCGCCGCGCCCCCTACTCGCAAGCCCGGTCGCCCCCAACTTTGCGATCTGCGGACCGGGAGGGGGCCAAGGCGGCTCGCGACTCGGCAGGAAGTTCCCAGGGCCGCACTGAGCATGCTCTTGGGGAGTGTGTGCGCGGGTGTGGGGCTCTGCGCTCCCCGCAGCCTCTCCCGCCAGGCAGCCTGGTATAGCGCGCCGGCGGGATCGCGGGCCGCCGGCGGTCCCCATGGGGTGGGGGACACGGCTGTACTTCCCTGGTCCCTCGGACAAGAGCGCCCGCCCTCCGCATCCCTCGTCCCCTGGGGCCCCGGACCAACCTCCCTTCTTCTTCCTCCTCACTGGCCCGTGGCTGAGTCCTCTCTGCACGCCCAGGTCCGGGGGACCCCAGCCCGGCCCACGTCCGCAGCGTAACCCCACTAAGCCCCATCCGCGGTCAGAGCGCCTGCAGCGTAACCCCACTAAGCCCCATCCTCGGTCAGAGCGTCTATGTGCCATCCCCTGCCTCTCGCCTCCATCCCGCGCAACCAAAGCCTCCTTCTGGACAGTCCCTCGGAAAGACCACAAGCCCTCTCCCCACGCGTCCTGGGGGCCTGCAGCCTCCCCTGGGGAAGGGCTGTCCCGGGCAGGTGGGCGACTCAAGGCGCGTCCCCGACTGTACTCCCAGGTCCCGCAGAGCGGCAGCGGCCGGGGCACCCACGCAGGGGGCAGAGGGGTGGCAGGCGGAAGCCCCCAGCTGCGCCGCCCTCCGTGCTGGCTCCCCGCGCCCTCCGCGGTCCGCTCTGCGTGCATCTTCCCGCGGGGATGGCGAGCTTCGACGCGATCGCCCCGACCCAGTGGCTCTCACCTCCGTGTTGAGCAGCAGCAGCAGCAGCCGGGAGCGCCAGCCAGCCGCGGTCCCGGTGGGGCCCAAGACGCGGCGAAGCACGGAGTCGCGGCGCCCCGAGCCTGCGGCGCAGTTACCTGGGCTGGATCTCGCCCGGGGCCGCCGCGGCAGCCGCGGGAGCCGCAGGGCCGCCGCCGAGCTGGCCGCTGCAGGGACGGTCTGCAAACTCCCAGCCCTGGCGGGGCCGCGCTTGGCGCGTCCACACTCGGCCTGGACACGGCAGAGACACTCCTCGGCGGCTCAGGCGACCAGGGTAGGGGTGCCTGTCCGCAATTTCTTCCAACCCTCCCTTCCCCGACCTCTCCAACTTCTCCCAGCTTCTGGTCTCGCGGCTCCGAAAGGCAGGGATTCCGGCCAGGGACATTCGGCAAACTCCCCGCCCTCCCCGGCGGAGCGCTCAGCCAATTCGGAACGCCCCAACCTCTCAGGGGCCGTCTGCAAACTATCAACCCTGTCGGAGAGGACTTCTAACCGCTCAATTCCGCAGCCCAAAGGGAGAAAGAAGCGACGGAGACAGTTTGATCGCGGCCATAAATAATATTCTATCAAGGTCAGGGGCAGTGTGCAAATGCTGATATGACACTGCATCCTCCAGAGTGGTGCAGGCCAGGCCTTTAAGCACCAGGGCGCTTCCAGCAGTGAAGCCCTGTGAGGAGAGACTGTGGGCTCAACCATCTACAGGTGCAGATAGCTTTAAAAATGCCCTCAGTTTCCACCCTCGTAGGATGGGTTATATGAAGCAGTGTGAGTTTCTGTGACTTGGTTTTTGTGACCTCAGGTAAGCCACTTAACCATATGAATTCAGCTTCTTCATCTATGAGCACAATAAGTGCTGCTTCATGAGATTATTTTGAAGATGAAATAAAGTATATATAAAGTACTTAGCACCAGCTGGCACATCGAAGGCACTCAATAAATGAATTCCATTTCTTTCTCTTTTCCACTCCCACCCCGGGATTTTATGAACACTGTAGACAGGCTAGCTGAACATTGCACTGTTGTAAATTCAAAGAGAAATAAAATGCCCTGAAGGCACCACAAAGAACATTGACTGAACAAATCCAGCCAAGCCCCTATGTCACTAAACATTATAGATTGTTGCTAAGTAGTATCTGGAATGCAAAGAGAGTGGCCTAGTGGGTTACCTAGGGATGAGAATGACAAGAGTTATAACCCCAGGAAGTTCCAAGCCCTGTAACCAGTCACAATGTCAGGTTATTGTATGAATGTTTATGTTCAACTTTCCTTTTCATTCCCTGCAGGATTTCTCCATCCGCATTTCACTGTCCTCGCTGGGGTCTTCTCTCTTGAACTGAGATCACCCCACTCTCCTTCCCACCTTCCCCAGCAGAGGCTTTTAAAAAACCGAGAATCATGGAAGTTTTGGACTCTAGAAATTACTTAGTCCAACTCCCTCATTTTGTAAGTGAGCTCTCTGTGCCATCCAGCTGGTTAGGGAGGTCTGACTTCAGGATCTTAATAGAACACACCCCTTGGCCTCTCTTTCACTGAGCTAGCTCTAGGCACTAAAGCACATTAGGTCAGTCCTGCATTTAACTTCAAGATGAAGGAAATGCCCTTAACATTTTCTTAACAGATAGGTGCCAAATTATCAGCCACTTGGATCCTCAGCTGTCAGAAACTGCCCAGTGATGTTCAAAAATCACAAGGAAATATGCATGGGCAGGACCATTTTTCTTAATAACACCTTTTGGTGAAATCCCAGAAATGTTAGGAAGCACGTATTTCTCTCAGTCCCTTGGATGAAAATAACATCTCAAGCTCTCTTGGACACTGGTAGGGAAATAGAAGAATGGTGACATCTGGTGGTTGGACTTGCTGTACTTTGGATGCCGATAGTACAGATTCTAATCCTAATGATTTGCTTTGAAGCCGTGGATTGTTAATAATTGTACCACCTGGTGACCTAGAGATTCCTGAAAGACATCAATCATTTAAACTTTGTGGACCCACTACTATAGGGGATATTACAAATGGTTATTGTTTTAGGATTTTTTTTACAACCGTGTATGTGTATATAAAGTATGAGTATAATATTCATATGTACACACATTACATGTATTTCATGTAATACAAATATATTTGTGTTATATATTCTATTTATTTGAATAAATAATATACTTGCAATGCTTTTGATGGAAATTAATACTATCACAATTCTTTTTCTTACAGAGTTAAGATTTTAATTTATAGTAATAATTGCTAAAGGGCACTACTTGTAGACATAAAGATGCTTACTGGGATGGAGTTATATATTTCATCATGTCCTTTCAAGAGAGAATTCATTATAAACCTAGAGAGGAAGAAAATAGCACAGTGGGGTTTCAATAGTGAAAGCCCTGGCGGCTGATGGTCAAGGTCATGCTTATCTGGTGAACAGTGATTCATTTTTAGCATTTCCACCCCTGTGAACATGCATTAGGTTAATAGAAGAAAGGCATTTGGCGTTACTTCACAGCAATGCAACAGTGTCTGTTGGTATTGCTAAATCGGCTCTACTTCTTTCCATATGTTTGTCCCAAGTGCCATATTTTAGATAATTGCTCACTTACAACCTTAGAAAACACAACCGTTTCCACACAGTAATATCCATTGTGTCTCAGTATCTCCTACTAAGCTCTATGTGAATTATACTCATCCTCATAACAACTCGTGGAGTAGATTTTCCTATACCCATTCTAAAGAAGAAGCCAAGACTTTATAAAAAGTTAGGTAATATGCCCACTGATAGTTAAGTAGGACCAGAGTCAGGACTGACTCCAAAGTTTCCTGACTCCGGAGCCTAGAACTTTACTACTATGTGATGCTGCCTACCTCCCAGGAAACCAGGAATAAATGAAGATCAGGGCAGAAACCACTCTGAAAGATACACAAAACACTAAAGGGGATATTTAAGGTACTATACATAAACCACATTTCTTGACCTATTCAAATTGTATGAAAATCATAAGCAACAAAATAACAATTGTGTATGAAAACCTTATAAAGCTGGGACCCATGCCATTCTGCCTTGGAGCAGGTCGCTGTGAAATAAACAAATGAATTGTTTATTCCTGCCCAGGGCCTGAACTGTCTTTCATGGCTTGGGAATTATTCACTATGTCATCCTGGTGGAAGGTAAAGCCTCTGATGGCATAGAGTTTTTAGGATAGCATTGATTGAATTTTTAAGACAGCGTTGCTTGCAGTGGTATCCAGTGACTGATGCCATGGTGTTAATAATATTTGCTGCAATGTCTAGTATACAGCGGTAGAGGCAGCAGTATCTTTACATTTTTGTTTTTGTTTTTTAGCTGAGCCATCCTGCCACCTGTTGGCAGTCCAGCGGTAGCTCAGCTCAGGCCGGGAATTGAACCAACAACCCTGTTGCTCAGAGCTCACACTCTTGAGCGAGCTCTTAACCAACTGAGCCACTCAATCTGGCCCCAGCAGTATCTTCACCTTACCAGTTCTATGACATGATTTTAGGAGTTGTTTCTAAATGCACATGCCTCTGAGCCTGACTCCACCTTTCCTTTAAAATAAATTCTTTTTTCTCCTTTAGTCAGTCCGATTAAGTTTCTCTTGCTTGTAGATAAGTAGCCTGACTGATACAAAATTAGAATCAAGAGGCACAAACCCTCAGAGAAACAAAGGCAATCAAGGATTGATTATCTAATCTGATTAAGGCTGAGGGTTGTTGGCAATCCAACTGGTTTAAAGGGTTTTGATGCTGGTGGCCAGTGGCATATAGTAGCAAAACAGCTTATTAAATTATCAACTGTTCTAACCTAGAATAAAGTACCCATTGAAATCAAGCTTTTGGGAGACCAAGCAGCTAAGGAATACAAGGACTGTGGGAGTAAGGTGGTTTTCGTTTGTTTGTTTTATGGAGTTGGAGAGCTTAAAGAAAGAGAATAATGAGCTCTAACTCCTAATTGGTAGGCTCAAATTCCTAAATTCTCAGCTCAAAGCACATACATAGGAGGGATTTTCTATGACTTCTAAAACAAACCAAGGACACCTTTTATTTTTCTTAGCAGCGGGACACCAAGATGGGTGAAAACAAAAAACAAAGTTTGATCTTGTGGGTTCCTGAATTACAAAGTCACTCAAATTCACAGCCTAAACACTCCCTTATTTGAAACCAAGGGCATTGATTCAAACAGAGTATGACCTTGAGGATTGAAAGGAGACACATGAGAGAATTTGGATAACAATGTCCTCCTCACCCCTCCAGCCCTGTGTTGACTTCCCTTGCATGGGGTTTCCAGCACACCTCTAGAGGCCAATTGAAAAGACAAACGCTGAAGGAGACAGCTTACCTATCGCAGGAGTTATGAGATTCAGCTAATTCGTAAAAGCAAATATCTGGGGGATACATGTGATGTGAGATTCAGAGAAGTCTACACCTAAGAAGGAAGAACATAGCATTAGATCGGGCTGAATCTACTGATATGGAGGCAGTTACTAAAATTCTAGACTCAATGTGCTCACTTGAGCCAACTGCTCATTTGGCTTCTGAGATCTGGGCTCATGGGGGCCAGCATAAATAACAATGCTAGCTGGCACTCACGGAGTTCTTATCAGGAGCCAAGAACTGTTTAAAATACTTTTACATATTAAGTTCTTTAATCTTAAGAATAAGCTTATGAGATACGTATTATCACCCCCACTTATAAAAAAAGAAAACTGAAGCATTTACAGGTTCAACCATTCCCCACATGCAGCTTGTAAGGGGTAAAGCTGAGATTCAAATCAGATAACTTGGTTCTAGAGTTGGCTTTTAAGATCTATGCCAAAATTCTTCTTATGAAGGTGAGATGCCAGAAATACCTTGATATTACATAAAGGAAGGAATCCAGGAATTTAGGGGAATGGTCTGATAGATTTATCAAGTGTGACCCTATTTATCCATTGCAATACCATGTCTCCCAAGATGACTCAGAAGACACATATTTGCTTCAGCAATGACAAGTCCACTGGTGAGGGGAATGCCAGCATTTTTGAGAGAGCACTGTAGTGGCTTTTCTCTGGAGGCCACACCTCACAACAAAGAGTTGTAGCCCTCACTCAGTTCCCACATTTGCTGCCTACCAACCGGTAGCCAGTGCACAAAAGGGAAACTGGATACTTGCAGCAGATACCATTGGATGGCCATCCAAAAGCCATTCCCAGTCCCATTCTCTTCGCTACATCTGACTACAGAGTCTGGAGAGCCAACGACTTGCTTTCTCCACCTCTACTCTCCAAGTTCTGGGGGATGGGACACCATGTGACCCAGGTCTGGCCAACTAGATCTAAGGGAAAGTCTGCTGTGGGATTCTGGGAAAATAACGTGTTTCCTTTTAACAGAGATGTAGGAG